GATGCACAAGATGAAGAAGGGACAACTCCTTTGATATATGCAGCATGTTTTGGGCATGAATCTGTTGCCTACACCTTATTGGAGGCTGGAGCAAAAGTGGATGCCAAAGATAGGTGTAAGTTTTTCCTTTAACATTCGTGCATGTTTGATTTTTATGTTAATGTTGTCACACCTGGTAGTTTGAGCAAATAAATGCGATGCAATACAAATTTGTAAACTAAATTTGTATGTATTATTTTTCTAGTCGGTTGGACTCCATTGATGTGGGCAACTAATAACAACCACGATCCAACGGTTCGGTTGTTTTTGGATCGTGGCGCTGATGCAGGTGCCAAGTCGGTAAAAGGTAGAACAGTATTTGATTTCATCCCATCTGAAAACCCCAAAATCGCCGAAATCTTCATACAAAATCCTCAGCGTGAAAGCTGGTCAAGTGTTGGCAGCATTAGCCGCTGGTCATTCTGTAGTGAAGCAGAAAACAGATTAGTAGAAAAGCTTGCCGAGGCAGAAATGGAAAAGAGGATGTTGGCGGAGAGTTCATTGAATTTGGATGTAGACTTAGCAAGTCTAGGATTCGAGGAACCAGAGGTACGTATTTAATACATCCTTATTAAAAATAATTTATAATTTCATAATTGTATATAATTCATTAATTTTTATTAGCCTGAAGAGGAAGAAGATGGACCCGCGGAGTTCTTATGGAATACCTGCTTACCAGATCAAATGTTTGTATTTTCGCATGAGGACATACCGCACATCCTCAAAACTGTTGTTACAAATATGCAACCCATTCGAAACAAAGGACAAAAGCCTGTTCCAGCAAATGTTTTATTTTTAAGTGCAAGGTTTGCGCATTATTTTAGTAGTCCCGAACTGTTGGAGTCACTCTTATTTGAAGTGATCAATGCAATAGATCATGCAGTTAAAGTAAGAATTATATTTTGGTATATCGTTAAGAAGTGTTATCAATTAACTTCAGTCAACTCATATGGATGAAAATTCTTCTTACATGTTCAGACAAAGCCTGACGATATGACACTTCTAGCATTTTGGATTTCAAATTGTACATTATTGTTATACTACCTAAAAAAAGATACTGGCCTTGCTGTCGCCACAGTAGAATATCAATTAAGGATCTCGGAGCAACTTCATGAAATATATGTGCTTTTAATAAAAGATGCTCAAAAAAGAATTGAAAAGGTATTGGAAGCTTCGATGTTGGAATACGATACTATTCCTGGAATGGACGATGTCCGATTTGAAGGAGAGTGGCAATTTATTAGAACTTTTATACGAAGATCAAAAAGCCCACCACAAACAGGTTATAACACACCGACGAAAAAATCTGGATCTAATTTAAGAAGGAGTTCCTCAACTTCTATGGTGCCTCCTTTCCGCACACCTTCATCTCCACGACAAAGAAGCGCTCCGTCACCCCGCAATATTACCTCACTTTTGTCTTCAACGCTCTTCATCCTTCAAACTTACGAAATTCATCCAATGATTGTAGAACAGGCTCTTAGTCAGTTATTCTATTATATTTCTTGTGAACTCTTTAACAGAATTCTTTCTCGCAAGAAATATCTATGTCGGTCGAAAGCAATGCAAATTCGACTTAATGTTTCTGCTCTTGAAGATTGGGTCCGCACAAATAATCTACCATTGACCCTAATAACACATTTCCAGCCTCTGATTCAACTTTTGCAGTTACTAATGTGTTGGTCTCAAATGACCGATTTTGCAATTTTAGTGCAAACAACTAAAGAACTTAATCTTATCAACCCGGCACAGCTTAAGCGAGTTAGTAAAAATTATAGATATGAAGTTAACGAGCCAAGGATAACTGAAGAATGTCAACAATATATTCTTCAATTGGAGGAAGATACAGAACGACGAAAGAAACGTTATTCCACTGAGAGCATAAGGAGTGACCGAAGTGATGCATCAAGTATTATCTTCCTAACGGTATCACCTTCGCTACCTCCATGCGCTGGACCAAATTGGGAAGATGATGATGATTTAATGGAGATGAAGGATAGCGAGTTACTGCTGCCATTTGCAATACCAACGAGCACTGAAATGTTGGCAAACTATGGTGGTAAAGAGAAAGGAAGCGAATTCATACCCTTGGTTCCTGATGAATGGATGGAAAAATTGGATGTCGGAATGCGACATGGCACATGTGGTGTCGTCGAGGAGCTCACATCAAAATGGGAGGCCGAATATGATGATGATGAGGAAGAAAATGGCGAGGAAGAAGCACAAGATACAAATGATGTATCCATCGATACTTAGTTTATGAATGCGTTCCCAAATCAATTTCACCTTTTGGATGGTTAAAAATTAGTTAATAATTTCTCATTGTAAAGATTTAGTTATTTTATTTATGGGCTTTAGATAGAAAGCTTCTGGCTATGGAAATTTACGGATATTGGTTTGGTTTTTTTTTTTTTTATTGCTTGGTCTCTTAGTATGTCAACAAAAACTGCGAAAAAATAAGGGACTATATATAAGAGACTAGAATAGGAATAAATTTATTACGGTTTATATAGACGGACATTTCTTGTCAACAAATGTACCGATTTCTTTTTTTTTTTTTTTAAAGTATTGTACGGTGAGAGATTTGCAATCTCGTATGCATATTTCCTTTTATTAAAATTTGTATTCACTACATAATATCTTGTTTCCTTGATTATTTTTTTTGAAACCATAAAAAGTGAGGTAGGAATGTGGTCTGATATCGTAAGAAATGATAAGTCATAAGTTATCATGCAAAATTATTACCAACAGCAATTTTAAAATTAAAAAATTAATTGATATTTAAAGGGTTTTGATATTCAATATATACAGTGTGTAACAAAAATAATTGCACTGATATATATATATATATTTTGAGGTGAAAAGTTGCATGCAGCACATGATTTTTATTGAGTTATTTATATTCAATTACATTGTTACAAGGTTATTTATATTCAATTACATTGTTACAATGTTATTTAAATTAACCCACTATCTTTACTTATTTTTAAACCTGGCAATATAATATGCATTCTTAAAGTGAATCATATTTTTGAGGAGACCTATCTAAGAGATGGAAATTCTACCACTAGTTTTAAATTACCTAACCTATTGGTCTAACTTGTGTTTGAACAGAATGTGTTAACAGAACTGGCTTGAGATATTCCAAGTTTTTTTTTATTTAATTAAATTAGAACTAATTATAGGAAAGAAAGTTATTAATCAAAATTGATTAGAATAAAATACAATTTAGTTTGTATATTCAATTATATTATATTTTTGCTTGTCAATAATCATTATAATATTAACTAGATGATTGTTGCATTACTATATTTTTTGTAAAGATCACAATCCTAATGTCTATTGGATTAATATATGAACTGGTTTCTTATAAGAAACAGTATATTACAGATTATGATACCAGATACCATATTAATACTATTCAATTGCTTTTATATAGAATTAAACTGGTATCTTATGTTCTGATATATGGAATACCATCAGGAAATTTTTTGGATGAAGATTTTTAAAGATCTTTAGACATAGATCTCTGGAGGACCTCTATTATTATTATTATTATTATTTTTTAACTCCAAATCAGGTTGCATGTTTATTATGTTTAATTAATCCTATATGAAAGACTCTTATACATGTGTATTAAAAATACTATATACAAGGCTAAACTTATTGAGACTATGCAACACACCCGTTATAAGCCAAAGGCCTCTAGATGTGATTATGGGGAATGAAGAAATTGCTCAATTCTATTCTAGTAACTTCCTACTAGTCTAAAACATCACAGCCAGCTCTCATTCGAAACTGTCACCCCTACATAACCACTATGGTCCTATGGAGGTTAAAATTTTTTATTTTTTTAAAAAAGTAATGGGAGAGAAAAAATGGTAGTTGAAAAATTTGTTCTGATAAATAAAAACCCTCCAATATCAACTTTAGTTCATCAGGATAAATCCTTTACCACCACCTGCAGCTAGGTGAACCATTTAATTTCCATTATTCCATTGCTGACCAAAAACATTCAAGGTACTTATAGCAAGACTTACTGTAGGAATTATTGCTTATAAAGTCTTATGATCTGACATGCTTGATGCCTTCTTGGGATAATCATCAACAGAGAAAGCTTGTTACTGGATTGGGATGAGACTTCTTTTGATTTTGAAGAGAAAAGAAACCAGTCCAAGAGGGAAGGGGAAAACATCAAACCACTTCTATTCAAGAGAACACTATGACACCTTGCTCTTCTGCTTTCACCGATTATATCATCGTTGTTATGTTATGTGACGGAGACACGTGAGAAGTATGTGACTTGTTTACATTTCTGCTACATGTTGATCAGCCAATCCAAGATCTTGACCAATCACCAACTGGATATTCCAGTGTAACAAAAAATTCAGGATCAAACTAGAGTAGGTAAAATTCTTTAAAAATTTTTAAAAATTTGTTGACACGCTTAAGAGGACTGCTGCAGATATTTGATTGGTGGAGAGGATCATATGTCTATATCTACAGACCAGAATACTAACTTATCTATCCACCTCCAACAAAGGTGTTCACTTATGATGGACCCAAGGTTCTTATAAAGCTTGGGAAATGCATTCACTAGTGGACTCTTTTAGAATTCCAGACCTTAAAGAAAAGTAAAGGAGAACATTTTTTGATAGGTTTCTTCTTCCCAATAAGATGTTCTTGCCATAGACCAAATGTGTGAGTTTTTGGATACTCTGTCACTAAAATATCCAAAAGGTTTTGAAGAAAGGAAAGTAGACAAGTGGAAGAGGCTTTTGCCTTCAGGAATATATGTTATTAAAGAAAGTGTTTAGACTTTATTATTGAAAAATAAAAGAACTTTTCAAGAACATCTGATTTTTGGGTTGGCAAAAGGATCAGTGGGAAGAGTTTTTTTTTGGAAGAACCTCTATTATTATTAAAAGACTTTAAAACAAAAAATTATATATTAATTTTTAGAAATCTTCAATTTATTTTAATAACAATAAACTATATTTATATTTACATATTGTTATTAAAATTTTTGAAAATTTTATTAACTTTGAATAGATACAACTGTATATTATCAACGTTTATTAATATTTATTAATTTTAGTTATATTTTTTATATAATATTTTCTTTATATTTGTGGGTCTATAATATAATAGTTAGTGCTTCACAAGTTAGATTATAAGATAATGGTTCACATCTTCCAAGGGATTAATATGAAATCTCTGAAAAAAACAAAAAAGGAAGGATTAAATATTTTAATTACTATTACAAGATATCAAGTTCAATTACAGGTAAAGGCAATTAAACTGTTTTAATATGATATCTGGCACTATAACCTAATATATATTATTTCCTATAAGAAGTTAATTTACATATTGATTTAATAGGTATTAGGATTATAATATCAAGAAAGGTATAGTGATGTAATGATTATCTGGTAGTATTACAATAATTATTGTCAAGTTTGATACTTTCGTTGTTTTTTATGCAATGAAGCATACTTCTTTTTTTTTTTTTTAAGGGTTAAGGTACGATACATGTGAGAATTTTTATTGTAAATTTATAGATTACAATTAACCATTACATGAACAGTCTAATGAAGCATACTTCTTTGTCTTTTTAATTTATGAAACTATAAAAAAAAATCTGATTTTTTAAAAAACCTAGCTAAAGCCATAAAGACTTCTTGTTGGATATGGCTAGTTTATAACTGATTGTATTAGAATACAGTTTTTCGAGTTTTTATTTATCAGATGGTAAATGGGACTAAAAGGTGCATATCCTGACATATTAGCATTCTACTTATGTGATCAGGATTTCAGTATTGGTAATATAGGAAGAATGGAGAGTAATAAATTGACTGATAAATAAAATTAATTTGAATCTTAGGTAGTTCTACTTGGAAATTAGTGGTAAGAAATTTGTATAATATGAATTTGTATATACTGCACAAGAAAACCTCATAAAACAAGATATACACCAGTTATAAGAAAAAAATATATCTATAATATTTTTTTTTTTTGCCTCTAATTAGACTACAATCGCCGTGTTTATTAATCTTTAAATATAAATAAAACAATAATACATGGAACCCTAAGGTTTTATATTAGAGCTAAACTATACATATTGCGAACACCCGTTAACAAGTTATTTTTAGATTTGTAATCTATAATATTTTCTTTTTTTCTTTAAGAATTCTCAAAACATCTATATAGTTTTAAATGGTGCAGCAAATTTAAAGTGCTGTAGCTCAAAAACCAAGTTGTGAAGCTTCTTTGAGATTCTAAATAACTATTTGTAAAAAGCCTAGAGAAATAACTTTGTTAAGATCTCAAAAGTGATTGTCTTATTAATATTTAAGTAATTTTGCTTTTTCTCTTATAAATAAGAATTTTTTTTGATAATTATTCTAAGTGTAACAAATAATTTTTTGGCCAAATCTTTTGTATAAATAAATAAACCACACATAAATAATTAGATTAGAAATGACCTACAATTGACCCAAAAAACATTATAAAAAGGCTGCAATTTTTCCTAGCTATAAAAAAAAGAACAATTATTATAATTATAAAGTTTTGAATTCTTGTATTTTCTTTAATTTTCTTTTAATAAAATTATATTTATCTTATATTTATCTTATATTTATCTATTGTTTTTCTATTGAAATTCAATATTTATATATTGTTATCTTTTGATTCCAATATTAGGGCAGAGTTGTGAAATTGACTGATACAATAATTTTGAATTGTTTGTGTTAATTTATTTAATAGTATTTGAAACTAAACATATGTTGAATAAATTAGATTATTAAAGATTAAAAATTATTTTTATTAGTAATTTTGAAGTTTATCAAGAAAGAAACTAAAAGTTTCAATATATTTAATTGTAAATTTCATCTTTTTTTGATTTTCTTTAATATTTCTTTGATTATTTTCTTTTATTCTTCTTTATTCTGTTTCTATTTTTTTTTATATCATAGGAACACACTATTTATTGCAAGTTTAAATTGGCGCATTCTTATTTTGCTTTCCCAAGACAATAATAGTATTATAATTTAATAATATTCAATTTAAAATATTTAATTGACTTATAAAATTATTTTTATTATTATAAAATTTTTTATTATTATATAATTCTTGTTTACATTTATTTATTTGTTTAAATCTTCACTTATTGTCAAATTTCTTTTTTTTAATTTCTATTTTCTAATAATAGTCCCAAATTATTCTCAGTATTTTCATAGTCTTTTAAAAATTCTTCT